GGGGGGTTACAGAGTGAGAGATTTGAGAGGGGTCATACTTCGCATGAGCAAAATCTACTTTAAAGAGAGTTATCTCCCGCTGCAATCAATTCGACTGAAACAAAACAAAAAAGAAAAATAAATACACCTTTCGTTCAGCTGAAATCGATTGGGGAACGGTCATACTTTCTACGATTGACTCAGTAAAAATCTGGCCATTCAACAACTCGCACAAAGAAAGCCGTCGCTGTCGCAAGCTATCTGCTTAGCTCCGTTTGAATACATTTTACAAAAAAAAAAAAAAAAAAAAAAAAAAAAAAAAAAAAAGAAAGAAAAAAGGGGGGGGGGGGGGGGGGGGAGTGGTTTCTTTCAAGCATCATGAAAAGCAAGAAAATTATTATTATAAGCCTTGATATTTTGGTGATGTTGAAAGGTGCATCTATGATAGAGCTTTGGGAAGGTGTAACAATCGAAAATTCTAAAAATTTGACTTAAGTGGATTGCCTGTGACAGCTACGACACAGAATCTGTACCCTATGGATCATTCAGGTGATCCTTATCATAACTGTTAAGTTGTAAGACACACGCTTTAACCTTCTTCGATCCCAAACGTATTGACTATGTTTCAAATTTGGAGCAAAGTATCAAAGAATTCAAGATCTGAAGGGAGGGAAGCAGTACTTGAACAATCTGCTTTCTTTATGTCTACCTCCCTTGCAAAGCTGTACCATTCATATCCTACTGCTTAAATATAGTCTGCTGTCAAGACACAAAAAGGCCATATATTAAACGACTTACTTCAGCATAGAAAGACAATCTGAGAAGAACGAACTTTAGAAACGATCGATTGGCCCCTTAACGTTCGGCAAATCTCTCTATTGACCCCTTAACACCTGCATGAGAGTTGACGACAAGTAATGCGCCAAGGATCAATCTGTGGACACTAGAGAAAAGAAAGACTTGAGCTTACCTAAGGTTGGGCTCACATCTTACTTTATCCATCGATTCCTCCCCCCCCCCCCTTTTTTTTTTTCTTCGCATGTACTGATCAACTTACACATGTGCCTGTATAATAGTTCTAATGCTCTTTGCTTCGTGGGCGAAAAATGTAAGTTCATTTTCCCGAAAGTAAGATATTTTCGGAATTATGCTTGTCTTTCTGATGCCCCTGCGTGGATAATGATGGACGGGTTCAGGGTAGCCTGCCTCCTAAATTATATAAGAAGAGTCGACGAGAGTTAAGAAGTTAACTGCTGCAACAACTCAGTTTGAGATCTGAAATACTTAAATTGTGTGTGTGTGTGTGTGTGTGTGTGTGTGTGTGCATGTGTGCGTGTTTGTGAGTGTGTGTGTGTGTGTGTGTG